GATTCGAACCCGCCACCTTAGGTGTATGTGGCTGGCGCCTTAGCCGCTTGAGCCACAGGCGCCGAGCCTGGAAGGACTTTTATTAAAATAAATATCCAGTTCATTAAAATTATAAAGGGTAAAAACTTGAGTTTTTCCTTAAGTATTAGTTTAAGTTACAAATACTAAAGTAATTTTATAATTGCATTAAATCTTCTTTATCTAGTTTTTTCTTATAAAACTGATACAGGGCCAGGTGCGGTGGCTCATGCCTATAAACTCAGTACTCTGGGAGACTGAGAGGGGTGGATTGACTGAGTTCACTGGTTTGAGACCAGCCTGAGCCAGAGTGAGACCCCTGTCTGTATCTAAAAATAGCCAGGCATTCTGGCAGGCACCTGTACTCCCAGCTATTTGGGAGGTTGAGGTAAGAGGATTGCTTGAGCCCAGGAGATGGAAGTTGCTGTGAGCTGTGGTACCATGCCCAAGAGATGTAGTTGCTGTGAGCTGTGGCACCACGGCACTCTACCAGGGGTGACAAAGTGAGACTGTCTCAAAAAAAAAAAAAAACAAAGAAAAAAAAATTGATACAAAGTCAAAGACAACAGTCTCCAATAATCCATTTTCTGTAAGTACCCCCCAAAATATGAAAAGCAGAAATTATATATAAGATATACAGTTGTGGCTTGGTGCCTCTGGCTCAAGTGGCTAAGGCACTAGCCACATACACCTAAGGTGATGGGTTTGAATCCAACCCAGGCCTGCCAAACAACAATGATGGCTGCAACCAAAAAATAGCTGGGCGTTGTTGCGGGCACCTGTAGTCCCAGCTACTTGGGAGCGGAGGCAGGAGACTTGCTTGAGCCCAGGAGTTGGAGGTTGCTGTGAGCTGTGATGCCACAGCACTTTACCCAGGGGGACAGCTTGAGGCTCTGTCTCAAAAAAAAAGATAACACAGTTGTATATGAATCCCAGACATATCGCTATTAATGGTTATTATGTTTCCTATTTTTCAGTCTGCATAGTAACATATATAATAGTTTTTATTGCAGTAAAAATGATAACATAGTCTAAGTGTGGAAACTGTAGCCATTTTAAGATACTGGAATTATTCCAAAACTTTTCAAGAAAAGGGTAGGCAGGTTGTAAAGATTCTCTTTTGATGTAGAAAGCTCAAATGTTACAGTGTGAAAAACCAGTGTGTCTGGCTTGGCACCCATAGCCCAGTGGTTAGGGCTCTGGCTTTATACACGGGGCTGGCGGGTTCGAACCTGGACTGGGTCTGTTAAACAACAATGACAACTGCAACAACAACAAAAAAAGCTGGGCATTGTGGAGGGTGTCTGTAGTCCTAGCTACTTATGAGGCTGCAAGAAAATCGCTTAAACCCAAGAGTTTGAGGTTGCTATGAGTTGTAACGCCATGGCACTCTACCAAGGCCGACATTGTGAGACTCTGTCTCAAAAAAAAAAAAAAAAAGAAAGAAAGAAAGAAAAAGAAAAGAAAAAAGAAAAATCAGTGTGTCTCATTATTAAAAGTAAGAATTTAGTGGAACTAATTTAATTGAAAAGCAAGAGGATAAACTGGCTTTTGGACTTAGGGAAGTAAAGTCTGTAGAAAAATCAAATTTATTGGTTAGAATAAATTGTGTTATCATGTAAAGTCAGGACTGCAGTTGCATTGGTATGATATTTGCTGTTCACTCGTTTTCTTTTTCCTCTCCTAAGTCAGAGAAGCTAAGGAAGGAAATGATCTAGTAGGTTTTAATTGGCCTTCTAGACTAGGATCTGGTCTTGTCTGTTTTGATATCTAAGTCAATGAAATATTAGAAGCTTTTAAAATTATGTCATTGCAGTTAGGGAAATGGTTTATAAAAAAGTTGAACGTGGCTCGGTGCCCGTAGCTCAGTGAGCAGGGCACTGGCCACATATACTGAAGCTGGTGAGTTCAAGCCTGGCCTGGGCCAGCTAAACAACAGTGACAACTGCAACCAAAAAGTAGCTGGGTGTTGTGGTGGGTGCCTATAGTCCCAGCTACTCAGGAGGCTGAGGCGAGAGAATTGCTTAATCCCCAAGAGTTTGAGGTTGCTGTGAGCTGTGACGCCATGGCAGTCACGTGAGGGTGATGTAGTGAGATTGTCTCAAAAAAAAAAAAAAAAAAAGAAAGAAAGAAAATTGAACATGAATCCTTTAATTGTTACTATTATTTTTCAGGAGTATTGCTCTGTCTGTCATACAAGCTAGAGTGCAATGGCTTAACCATAGCTTACTGCATCACTGAACTCCTCGGCTCAAGCCATCCTCCTGCCTCAGCTCCCAAGGGGCTGGGGGATTGCAGGTGTACACCACTATGATCAGCTAATTTTTCTTTTATTTTGTAGAGACAGTGTCTTAATACGTGCCATGGCTGGTCTTGAAATCCTGGCCTCAAATAATCCTCCTGCCTCAGCCTCCCAAGTGCTAGGATTACAGGTGTGAACCACACACCCAGCCTATTTTCCTTCTATATGTTTCTATAAGTCCTTAGATCCATGCCACATGAATTCTGGTCTTCTCAGTTATTTGTAGTTGTAGGCTATATTTAACCTCATTGTATTTGCGCTTTAGTCATGTTTGATAAACTTCAACTCTTTCTTGGAAATCAGGGTCTCTCAACATCTTTCAAGTACCCTCTCTAGTTTTCTATGTTACATAAATGAAAACATCTTACTAATCTTATTTTCTACCAAACCACCTTCTTAAGGAAGAAGAACAGATTTAGCATTTTGTGCAAAATTTTTAGAGAAATGAAATAGGCTCAAGCCTGTGGCTCAAGCGGCCAAGGTGCCAGCCACATACACTTGAGCTGGCGGGTTCAAATCCAACCTGGGCCTGCCAAACAGCAATGACGGCTG